GAATGCTGCTGCACCCTGTGAGCACCCAGGCTGTGTGAACAGAACATCACACTGTGAAGATGCTCATCGAGGTAGGCACAAGAACGAGGGGATGCCAAAACCTCAGCGTCCAAATTAAGTCTTTCAAGTAGAAGTGGCAGCTGCCAGAAAAAGAAATTATTTTTGCACTGGAAAGATAAAAAAAAAAAGACATGTATTGATCGTAAATCTATTTTTGTATTCCAATAAAAAAAAAAAAAAAAAAAAAATAGGCCAATCTGCACAAATTTTGTTTTGCCGTCTGAAATCTGGGAACTTTGGAATTGTGAGAAATTATATTTGGAAAAAAAACCCAAAAAACTGCACCAACTTTGCATGTGGAGAAGCAGAGACCACTTTTGTTGCTGTTCTTGTAAAGGACACTGCTGGTGACGGCCATGGTTTATTGAAGCAGGAGARAAATATGTATTTCCTCTGTTTATAATGTGATTTTTCAGCTCACAGCTTCCACAGAACACTCTATCTTTCCAAGACCAGCCAAGACACACAGCTTAGCAATCCAACCCCTCCAGAAGTCWCGCAATTTCCTCATTATGTTAATTACCAGATTGGTTCTAAATGCACATTTCATCCCACTCCAATTCTGCGTCTTTCAAGTCCTTATTTAATTAAGATGTTGTTAAGCATTTTCTGTTTGCTGGGTTTTTGGTTTTTTTTCCCCACAAAGTGTGGGTGTTAAAACAATTAAACTGCAGGCCAGACATAAATCTCCTATTTGGCTACTTTAACTTGTGTTAATACATGCTTTGCTAATGGCAAAAAATGTCAAAAGACAATTAAACAAGCCACACAATTTTCTCCTTATGAGCTGTTTTCAGCACTCAGGAAATGCTATGGTATAGTGAATTCCTATCTAAAAAGACTCTGAAGAATTCATTACAAGTAAACACATTAATAAAAAAAAAAAAAAAAAAAAAAAAAGTGAAAAGAGTGAGGTGCAATAATGGACAAGAAAAAAAATAAAGCATGTAAGAGAGTAAAAAACATTCCTTACATTTCAGTGAGAGATGAATACCAGCATTGAAACAAGCTAATATGAGATGAAAAAATAATGTTCTCTTCCCATGTTAAACTTTCTTTATTCAAAAATTCCTCTTATAATTTAAGTTTTCTTCCTCTGTGGCTGGCAGAGCAAAAACACATTTCCACTTCTGCAAACTACTCTATAAAAAAAAAAGGAGCAGAAACTGGGTTTGGCTTAGGTTTTAAACAATTCTTTCATTTGATCACTTGGAAGCCTAAACACTGTAAATAAATGCTAGAAATGAATATAAGTAGATCTCATGATGCATTATAGAGATGGGTTTTGTATATGTATTACAAAAAGAGGATAATTGTTTGGAATGCATTTTTTGCCTTTGTTTTCAAACAAGAGGCATTTTGATGTGAAAAAGATGGTTGTGCATTAAACTGAAAAGAGTAATTGGATTGCAGTGCTGAGAAAATAGTTTTCTAACAGTGATGATAAAGAATCTCAATAATATTGACTAATACTGGGGATCGGTTTGGCAGGAAAATACCCAACCCAAATATATTATACTACTGGCAATCATTGCATTTTTACAAATGTAGGTATAACGCTTGCTCTGCCAATCTCCCAACAATCTGTTTTATCAGCAACTCCTTTTCCTCTAATAGTGCTAATCTGGTTCCACAATCAGCAAGAGAAATATAATATAATTTGTTGCCTTCAAAAAACTCAACACATCACCAGTTTTAAAGTAAAATACTGCCAATACCATGGTATAATTAAAAAGTTAGGATTAGGGTGACACACAAAATAATTTATGCAAATATGGGATGGTTGAGTGGGAAGGAGAAAGCTCTTGCTATTTGGAGACACCAAGTGAAGTGAGATGTCATAATTTAGCTAATGGTAAATAAAGAAAAATAAGTTTAATCTCATGCCCTAAAAGTAATAGAGCGGCCATGGATTTTGAGGAAAATGCTGATTCTTTTGAATGATAGTCTCACCTCATAAAATGAGATATGGAATGGTGAAAATCTGCTTACAAGACCATTCTCAAAGCATCTGGATGATCAGTAGAGCTTATTTTCAATAATCTTTACAGCCTCAGTGCCTCATTTTGGGCATAAATCAGGAAGATCACTGCCACATCTTTTAATGCCAAATAACTTAGAGAAATGGGGTGACCAAATGGAATAGGAATCCTGATTGTGTCCAGAAAGAGCCTAAGAACTCCAAAAAGCTGCAACATCTTCTTTAAATGAATTAAAAGGGTATCTCTGAGGCAGCATGTGGGGAATTCAGCCCCAGGTTACCACTGAGCTACAAAAGTACAATTTTGGTCATCTCATCTATTTATTTATTTCATTTATTTATTATTTCCATGTCAGGAAAACGCACTTTTTCATCAGTGATGGTGTTGTTTTGTGTAAATAGATGTAATTTTGTGGGACCTGGAGATTACAGAGTCTAAATCACAGCAGATTTTTTCAACAACTGCACCGTGATTGAGGTGAGTACTCCTTTTGTATCCAAAAATGCACAGTCTGTGCCTGGAGAGAAAAAATACTTCATACTCCTGCCTCTGGAGCTAAATTATGGATGCAGCACTCCTAAACACTTCAAAACAAAGAGCTCAAGTGTTAATGGCTGCATTTTAAAACACTCAGAAGATCCAGAGTTATCCTTTTTTTTTTGAGAGAAAACTGAGTAAAACAACCCCAGCTCATAACAGAGAAGAATTTATCTCTTGGGTTCGTCCAAAAATGCGAGTAGCATTTGATGCACGATGCAAACATCACCCCTGAACAAACATTATCACAGCAGGTGCTCCGAGATGGATGTCAGCATCAGTTTTGTTGGCTTTCTAAAAAAAAAAAAATCTGAAAAAATAAAGCAAGAAAGCCATGCAGAGAACCATTCAAAAAGCATGGAAAGTTAGCATGGTAAATATGATATTGATCGGCCAGCTGCTTTAGCAAAATCAAAAAAATCTGGGCAAAATGTCTGAATTTAAGCCCAATTCAGGGTAGAATGGAATCACTCTGGGCTTAATTTTTTTTGTGGAATGGCTGAGGCAGAAAGGCACACAGATGCATTTGCTTTCACCTGCTTTTTCTTACAAATGTGTTTTGACTAAACTCCTGTGAAAACAGCAGCATGATTATAAATTTTTCA